TTATGAAGTACCCATGGCCATTAAAATGCATTTTACAGTCATTACCTCACTTTATTGTTGCCCATAACTCTGCAAGATAAGCATTATCTTCATTTTACAGAATAATAATAATAAATAATACTTGTTACATGCTTTAAAGGTGTTTAACCTATATTAATGTATTTAATCCTCATGATAGCCTTGTGAGGTTAAGTACTACTATTATTTATCCCTACTTTTTGGAGATGGGATCTGAGACAATCTGAAGTTAAGTGACTTTCCCAAGGTCACACGACTGGTTTGTGGTTGTGGCCGACTGCCTGAGTTTGCTCAGATTAATTCTCTGCCTTTCCTAACCTCAATGCTGTATCACAGAGGACTACATTTCCCAGTTCCTTTGCCCTCTGGCTTCCAGGTTGATTCAATCCAAAGGGAAGCAGTAGAGGAAGGCTGGAGAGAGGGAGGAGGAGAGAAAACAGAGTATTTCTCCCCATTTCTCTCTCTTTGCTTCCTGTGGTGTCTCTGGCAACAACCGTCTCTTCTACCTACATCTGCTCTACAGGCTCTCACTCTGTGGTCCCAGTTTTTAGCAGGCCGCTTTCATGTATTTCTAGATGCCACCACGTGGCTCCATCTCTGGGCCCTAGCAATATTACCACCTCCTCCTGTTGCACTGCCAGTAGAGTAGCTTCCTGTTCTTGCACTAGGCTCCTTAGTCCTTTCATCTTGGCTCACCAATTCCCCGCATTAAATTTCTTCTTGAAAGAGCTAGAAGACTTTCCATTTTCCCAGATGGACTTTACTGATATCTAGACAAGTGAGTCTAGAGCCCATGGTCTTGATCTTTTCAGATGAGAAAACAGATTCAGACTTACTCTAGGTTGTAAAACTAATGAAGTATTTAAAAAAAAAAAAAAGCCAAGAAAAAATGGGAAAATAAAGAAAAATGAGAAGATATCCTTTTGGATATCACAACATACCTTGAAGATATAGTACTGAAAACAAGGCAGTGCAGACACAGAATCAGTGGAACAGATCAATAGAACAGAATATAAACCAGAAATAGCTATGGGAATAAAAGAATATTTTACTCGTAAATGGAGCATTTAAATAAATGGAGAAATAATACTAGAAGGATTAATTAACCCATACATTTGGGGAGAGACCCCCAGAATAAATTCATACAGATTGAAGAGCAAAACCAGGGATGCCTGGGTGGCTCAGTGGCTGAGCGTCTGCCTTTGGCTCAGGGCCTGATCCCAGATTCCTGGGATCGGGTCCCTCATCGGGCTCCTGTGGAGCCTGCTTCTCCTCCCTCTGCCTGTGTCTCTCCCTCTTTCTCTGTGTGTCTCTCATGAATAAATAAATAAAATCTTAAAAAAAAAAAGAGCAAAACCATATGAAAGTACTAGAAATAAATAGAGGTGAATTTCTTTTCTTTTTCTTTTTTTATTTTATTTTTTAAAAATATTTATTTATTCACAAGAGACACAGAGAGAGAAATAGAGGAAGAGACACATGCAGAGGGAGAAGCAGGCTCCATGCAGGGAGCCTGATGTGGGACTCAATCCTGGGTCCCCAGGATCATGCCCTGGGCTGAAGGCAGCACTAAACCACTGAGCCACCTGGGCTGCCCTTTTTCTTTTTCTTTTAAATTTTGGGATTATGAAATCTCCTCCCAAGCAAGACCAAGAAAATGCAAAAATGATAAAAGGATAAAACTGATAGGTTTATAATATATATAATAATTTAAAATTTTAAATTTTTGTATATAAAAAGGAACTTAAAAGTTTTAAATATATTCTTGCCTAATTGGCTTTGTTTGGGATCTCTACAGTCCTCTGAAAATGAGAAGGAAGACTGAGACTTGATATCTTGGGTGCTCTTCTTGTTCCTTGTTGGGAGAAATTGTACATTGTTAGCCCTTCACCCAGCTCAAGGCATAAGAAACCACTTCACAAAGGTGAGGCGATCCTGCCTGCTTCCTCATGGGGTGTTTTTGTTGACTCTTTAAGCTGCAAAAATGAGGTAAGTTCAAACCAAAAGTATTTGGAAAGTGGAGATGAAGAGGGCAGAAATACTATTTTTAAAAAAGATTTGTTTATTTGAGAGAGAGTGAGAGAGCAAATGAGGGGTTGGGCAGAGGGAGAGAGAGAGACAGAGACAGAGAGAGAGAGAGAGAATCTGAAGCAGAGTCCCTGCTGAGCACAGAGCCCAATGAGGGGCTCAATTTCAGATCCTAAGATCACAAGCTGAGCGGAAATCAGGAGTTGGAGCTTAGTCGACTTCACCACCCAAGGACCTACCCTTTCTAGGAAAGTTATCTACCTTGCCTGTGTATTTGCTCATAAATGCATGGAAGAGAACAAGTGTGAGCGCATAAAGGGTTCTGAATAACCGAGGGGTGGGCATCTAAAGCAACACAGGACAGAAGGAGATAACCAGGGCAGGACAGCCTTGACAGAGCACTTTGTTCTTCATTCATTTTTATTAATGATTGTGGGGTTTTTTCCTCTTACAGAAAAGTTTAGCACAAAATGGCTTTAATTATTTTATGGCATAAACTGGGTCTTTAAATTATTCACATTATTTTGTTTCTAGTGTATTTTTTTCACACAAATTTTTTTCCTGAATTGGATTTTTTCTTTTTTCTTTTTTTTAAATTTTTTTATTTATTAATGATAGTCACAGAGAGAGAGAGAGAGAGAAAGAGAGGCAGAGACATAGGCAGAGGGAGAAGCAGGCTCCATGCACCGGGAGCCCGACGTGGGATTCGATCCCTGGTCTCCAGGATCGCGCCCTGGGCCAAAGGCAGGCGCTAAACCGCTGCGCCACCCAGGGATCCCGGATTTTTTTCTTTAAGTTATTTAAATACATAGAGGAAAATAAGTTTAAATATTAGGGCGTTCTTGTTCAATCACTGATTGGACATTTTGCCCCAACTCAGAACGCTAGACTTTTTTTTTTTTTAAGATTTTATTTTTAAGTAATCTCTACACACGACATGGGACTTGAACTTACAACCCTGAGATCCAGAGTTACATGCTTTATGGGCTGAACCAGTGAGGTGCCCCCGAACACTAGGCTTTTTGTCCAAGTGTGCTTTGTTCTGAGGTTTGTTACTCTTGCGGACTTATTTAATGAAACCATTCAAATAAATGAGACTTTTTTTTTATGAAACTTGTTTTTGTTACAAAAAAATTGAAAAAAAATGTGGCAGATCCATTCATCTATGATGAAAATCATCTATGATGATTTTACCAAAGGAAGGAAAGAAGGAAGAAAGAAAAGAAAGAAGGAAGAAAAAAAGAAGATAGCAAGTTCTAGGACATAGGTATAATAATATGGTCTCTTCTTTTAACAAGTAGAAAAATTAAAAGAAACTTACACATGTATGTGTGTACGAAAAGGTCTGGAAGGGCAGTTGACAACAAGCTGTCCAAGGTGGTTACCCCCCAGGGAGTGGGAATGAAGAGAGCAAGGGGAAGAAGCTCTTTTTGCTTTATGCATGCCCTATTCTTTTTTCTTCAAGAAGCATATGCTAGGGCAGCCCCGGTGGCGCAGTGGTTTAGCACCGCCTGCAGCCCGGGGTGTGATCCTGGAGACCCGGGAACGAGTCCCACATTGGGCTTTCTGCGTGGAGCCTGCTTCTCCCTCTGCCTGTGTCTCTGCCTCTCTCTTGCTCTCTCTGAATGAATAAATAAATAAATCTTTTTTTTAAAAAAAAAAAAAAGAAGAAGCATATGCTACTATGTGATTTTTTTTTATTCCAATGAAAAAATGTAAACCAAGCTAGTGAGATAGAGTTCAAGGTTTGAATCCAAGCTGCCCCCTGACTTCAGGTCATCTGGTGGGGAAGACAGCACACACATCTGCAGAGAAGAGCCACCGCCCAAGGTCACTGAGCAAGGACAGTGTCAGAAGATCATCACAGGAGTCTGGGGATGGGAATGACCACTGAGCCATGGGGCAGGTCAATAAGGAGGATGATGACCTCCCAGGCAAGGGGACTTTGAGGGAGAAAACAAAGCCCTGAAGGGTATGAGAGACAAACCCTGGGCTGGAGGCCTCAGGCAGGAGAGTGCTAGGGGATTAGTGGAGATGAGAGGAGGACCCAGCCACAAGGACAAGGGACCAAAACTTGATGCTGAGGCAGCTGGGGCTTTAAGCAGAATAATCTAGTTGACAGTTCCCAAAGTGTGGTTCGGGGACCCCCATAGGTCTTTAAGATCATTCTAGGGGGTCTGTGTGTTTAAAACTATTTTCATGGTAATGCTAAGGTATATTTGCCTTCTCTACTCATGCTGAGTGTGCAGTGGAGTTTTCCAGAGGCTACATGATGCGCGATGGTATCACCACTCTGATGTTAACATATAATGGGTTTTATTTTATTTTGGGGGTATTTCTTTTAATGAATTAATACATATTTTTACAATTCCCCACATTAATATCAAATACAGTAAGTAAATAACGATAGATATGACTCATATAAACAAAACTCTTTGGGCTCCTCAATAACTGTAGCGTGTGCCAATATACAATTCTGTGTGCACCATGCAGTGTCTGTGCGCACATGTGTGTGGGGGCACATGACTGTGTATGTCAGTGAATAAATGTGTTTTTTTCTGGAATGGGAATCCAAAGTGCTCGTTCAGTTCTCTAAGTAATGATACACCAAACGCAAAAGTGGTAAATCATTGGCTTGAAGGGGCAGAAAAATCAAACACCGTGACTGAGCAACAGTCCACCAGGAGGTGGGTTTTGAGGGAAATGACATGACTTTAGACAAGTAACATAATCCCTTTGTCTCTAATTTGGGAATAATAATATTAGTCTATCGACCTTAGCAAGAAACTATATGTGAAAACACTTTGTACATCAGAGATGACTCAGAGACCATCAAAATCTATGCCAATGTTAGTTTCTAAAATCCATGGAATTCACCTTTCTCAGACCTTTGCACCCTGACCTCTACCCTTGCTGCAGTGAAGTGAGGAAATGTGAAGTCTTTGGCTGGTGTTCGCAGCTTCCCTTCCAATCACACTCTGGATAGTGGAATGCAGAGAGAAGACAGGATCTGGGCTCATCTCTTGATTGAGGTAATACCTGCACGTTCACGCATCACTTGTTCTTGCATTATTTGGCTGAGGGCCTGCCTGGCAGCTTGACTAGACTCCTGCCTAGAAGTGGGATGAAATGAGAATAGGCCAGGACTTGTTACTCCCGATGGAGTCATTCCCAGAGACTTAACTTCCCCCTCTCCCATAGGTAGCTTGCACAATTACTTCAATATCCTTCCTATGGGAAATGATAATCTTATTTTCCTATGCTTCTTTCACAGGCCTTGGAGTATTGAATATTTAGCAGGGACTCTGTACCCAAGCCAGGCCAGGTGCAGGAAGGGGCTGGGATCAGGCCTCAGGCCTCCCCTGGGCAACGATTTCAGGCAAGAAAGGTAAGAATGATGAATGCCCAGTGGCCCATGATACCTGGAGCCCTCATCCTATAAAGTTTGCAGTTGAGTGCTAGAAAACCATAAAGATCTCTATTTTAAAGAAAACATCCTCTTTATTGATAACAAGCTTAGGAAGATTTAAGTGAGCAAATTCCTAACAATACTTCCTCCAACGTCTAAGCCAGCTTTTGTTCTCAAATACCAGGTGTGAATTTCTCAATGTTGTATCTTCATGAAACACAGCAAGTTTAAACATAACCATCCTACAACTGCCCACCTCTGAATTCTGTTTTATGTTCTGCAAATGGCTAAGACCTTTCCAAAGGTGTTAATTAATCTTTCAATAGCTTTCTATTTAACAGCCAGAAACTTGACCAAGCTATGTGATCCTTATAAAACCTTAGACTATTTGGGAGCCAGTAAGAAGATGAAGTCCAAGAGATGTGGGTTTGGATTAGCTGGTGACCTAATAGTTGGTAAGCTATTTAACATCTCTAAGCCTTGGTGTCCTCACTTGTAAAAGCGGACTCAAAGTTTATTCACTAAATACATTATTGAATGTTTAATGCATGCCAGGCGCTCTTGGGGGGATGCCAGGCATACAAGGGCAAACAAGACAGACATGCCCCCTGCTCTCATTGAACTTATCACAGGACCTGGATACTAAACAGAGATCACATATCTAAGTCATTAATTCCAATTGCAATAACAGCATCTACCTCTGAAGATGTGGGGTTAAAAGAGGCAACCCCAAAACTTGTGTCCTAATACTATTTATTAGTTTTGTTAATAGTCCTAATCTGTATAAATATATGTTGTGCATTGGTTCCTCCCTTATTTTTTGCACATATTTAAGTGGTTAGAAGCAACAACAGGCATGTGACTTCAATGTGTGTCCCTTACAGCAGATGGGAAGGCAAGCATCTCTCCTGTGTTGGGGACATTGGCTTAACCTAAGGAAAGAAGCTGAATTTGTTGCTCATTGCTGGCAAAAACAGTTTAGCATTAACATTAACTGGACTGGCAGTGCTTCTCCTGTGAGTCCTGAGCCGCAGGGGAATGGAAGATGCGGGCACAGAGTTTTGCAGAGGGTCTCTGAATTCTTTTTTTTTTTTTTGGTCTCTGAATTCTGACGTGCATCAGGTTTTCACTTTTCCACAGAGCGAAAGCATATTTTACCCACATATGGACCTCATTATAATCTATGTAGATGCTGATGTGATTAATGCAGTATAGATTCCTTTAAATAAATTGTTGAAGTCTTACCAGCGTTTTTTAATTACATGCTTTCTCAATCAAATCTTATCCTGTCTCTTCCTGGCTTAAATCCTTTAACAGCCCTTCATTGCTCAGGATAAAGTCCAAATTCCCTCCCAGGCACAGCCTGATTCCGCTGACCTCTCTCGGCATGTGCACCACCCCTGCCCTTGTGGATCCACCAAGTTCTAACACGAAGGCTCTTTCGGTCCATGGCTTTCAACACTCACAGCTCAACTCAATATTTGTTCTAGCCTGAACAGATCTAGAGCTCTTGAGTGGGGAAAAACATCCACCCTTCCTGCAGGCATCATGCCATTTGAAGTGGGCATGGGTCCGCTTGGGCACCTGCTGAAGCAGGTCTCACCTCGGGCTGGTCACTGCTCACCTAGACCACCTGTCCCCTAGACTCCTGTGCACTCTCTCTCTCCCCTTCTCTTTCTGGGAGTTATTGAGGCCCAGGCAAAGGTCAAGTCCCCTAGCTTCTTCCTCCGTCACCAGTGCAGCAACCCTGCCTTACTGCCCCTCCAAACGAGTACAGAAGCCATTTTCTGAATCAAAACCATTTTCCTTTCAAGGATTTCAGAAAGAAACAATTTCAGAAATCACAAACTTCTTGATGTCAGTTTTCTACGAACTCTCTTTCTTTAATGTTACATGGAAACCCAAGCTTCATAATGGCCCATGTCTTTACACGTGTTTAGGCATAAGAATTATTCAAATCCCCAGTGAAAGAGTTGCTGATAGAGATGGGGAGAGCCATTATACTCCTCTCCCACCCTAAAACCCTCCAAAGGATGAAAAAGAGAAACAACCCCATTTTTTAAAAGATGAGAGGGGCGCCTGGGTGGCTCAGTCAGTTAAACATCTGCCTTTGGCTCAGGTCATGATCCCAGGGGCCCTGGGATCCAGTCCTGTATTGGGCTCCCTGCTCAGTGGGGAGTCCCTTCTCCCTCTGCCTGCCACTCCCCCTGCTTGTGCTCTCTGTTACTCTCTCTCTCTGTGTGTCAAATAAATAAATGAAACCTTAAAAAAAAAAAAGATGAGAAAAAAGGGAGCAATCACTCCATTTTTTTATTATGAAATTTAATGCTAACAAAGAATGTTCTCAACATATATGAAAAATTTAACTAATCACAGTAAAATGAACACATGTACCTATCAACCTGCTTTTAAAAAATTTGATTTAAGTAGTGCCTTAGAAGGTCCTGTGTGTACTTGTCCCGTCACACCCCTTACTCTCCCTCTGAGTAATAACTTCTATCCTGAATTTTGACTTAATCATTCCCTTCTTTTTCTTCAGAGATTTGCTCTTCATGTATATTTTCCTACACGATATATTTTAAGTTGAGAGTTTTTGCATTTATGGAAATACATATTTCCATTTTCCATATATACATTTATGGAGTATATATTCTGTGACTTTTCACTCAACTGTATGGGTTTTTTTATTATTTATGATAGTCAGAGAGAGAGAGAGAGAGAGAGAGAGAGAGGCAGAGACACAGGCAGAGGGAGAAGCAGGCTCCATGCACCGGGAGCCCGATGTGGGATTCGATCCCGGGTCTCCAGGATCGCGCCCTGGGCCAAAGGCAGGCGCCAAACCGCTGCGCCACCCAGGGATCCCTCAACTGTATGTTTTTAAGAACCACCTATGCTGCTATGTGCAGCTTTATAGTTCACTCTTTTTTTTTTACGTTTATTTATTTAAGTAATCTCTACACCCAACATGGGGCTTGAGCTCATGACCCCGAGATCAAGAGTCACACACTCTTCCAACTGAATCAGCCAGATGCTCCTAGTTCACTCATTTTTATTGATGAATTGCATTCCATTGTATGAATATGTGACCCTGTATTTACCTGCTGTCTGGTAGCTGTCATTTGTTTCCAGCTTTTTGTTATTACAGAGTATGTTTAACATTCTTGTACCTGTCTCCAACTTCAATGACACAAAGAAGCTGTAGACTGCCAAGGACACTGTTCTGGAAAGGCTTTTTTTTTTTTTTTTTTTTTTTTTTGCTTTTTTAAAAAAAATCTATTTATTTGAGACAGAGAGCACAAGCAGGAGGGGCAGAGGGAGGGAGGGGGAGAGAGAGAGAGAGAGAGAGAGAGAGAGAGAATCTCAAGCAGACTCCACGGTGAGTGCAGAGCCTGACTTAGAGCTCGATATCACGACTGGAGCCAAAACCAAGAGTCGATGCTTAATTGACTGTGCTACCCGTTGCCCCTAGAAAGCCCTTTTTAAAAAAAGATTTTATTTACTTATTAATGAGAGACACACAGAGAGAGACAGAGACATAGGCAGAGGGAGAAGCAGGCTCCCTCTGGAGAGTCTGATGCAGGACTCGATCCTAGGATTCCTGGATCACGACCTGAGCCAAAATCAGATGCTCAACCACTGAACCACCCAGTCATCCCTGGAAAGCCCATCTTAATGGTTCATTGTTTGGAACCGTAAGACAAGCATCTGGAATTACTCCAGAGAAGTACCCTACCCTTCTGGATATAGGCAATAGGGAAGTGGAAGTAATGGAGAAGCCAGGTATAAGTGCCATATTCATTATCCACGTCCCAGCCTTCTACATGAAGGAATCTGCTGTGGGTGAGGAGAGAGAAGGGGGGGAAAGAGGGGACAGTGATTATCAGAAAGCCTGGTGTACACTGAATATTTGTGTCCCCTCAAAATTCCTATGTTGAAACCTAATCCCTAAATTGATAATATTTGGAGGTGGAGCCTTTGGGAGGTGATGAGGTCATGAGGGTGAAGCCCTCATGAATGGGATTAGTGCCCTTTTAAAAGAGACCTCAGAGAACTCTCACGCCCTTTATAGCATGTATAGATACAGCGCAAAGATGTCTATCTACGAACCAGGTGGGGTCTTTCCAGATACCAAATCTATGGGTGCCTCCATCTTGGACTTCCCAGGCTCCAGAACTGTGAGAAAGAAATGTTGTTTAAGCACCCAGTTGGTGGTGTTTTTTTTAAAGCAGCCCAAACAGACTAAGACAAAGCCTATCTTAGGGAGTATTACCACACTGACTTCCTACATCCTAAAAACTGGGGCAATATGGCCCCAGACAAAAGCAAAAGCAGATTTGGTGACAGTGTTCAAGGAAAATAGACAATTTAAAACTGTGGTCTGTTCAGACCACTGGCCTCATCTTTCTCCAAACTGATTTTTAACAAAACTGGTCTCTTTCAAAGATGAGCAATAATCAGAAAGACTTAGGCATGCATAATTAGTGCAACTTCTAGGTAAACAAGCCAATATTTATAGCCTCTCCTTCCCCAAACCCTAGTAAAATGACAGTGAGAAAATATAAAAGGGCCTAGTCCCTGAAGGAGCAAGAGACAAGTAAATTAGCAAAGTGGAGGAAGATATGGCTTATGGTGTCTGAGGACCACGTGAAGGCACCAGATACTGTGTAAAGTGGGAGCATAGGGTGAAAATAGCTATTAGATCTCAGGCCTTTTCTTCTACCCCTTAAAGCAAAGTGACCGCCAGCCCAAATAGGAAACTGTAGATTCAGGCTCTGTAGGAACTAATCTGAAAGGCTCTTGGGGTCGCCTGGGTGGCTCAGTGGTTGAACATCTGCCTTTGGCTCAGGTCATGATCCTGGGGTCCTAGGATCAAGTCACGCATTGGGCTCCCAGCGAGGAGCCTGCTTCTCCCTCTGCCTATGTCTCTGCCTCTCTCTCTGTGTCTCTCATGAATAAATTTAAAAAAATCTTAATAAGTAAAAAAACAAATAAATCAGAAAAGCTCTCTATTTGGGGACACATGTTGTAAGGGGTTGGTGATGTCATGTGCAATCAGAAACACAGGGATCGAGATTAAATCTATGTTATCTTATGACCCAGCAATGTCATAGTGGGAAAACACCTACATGAATCAAAAATATAGGTCCACCAAAACTTATATGTAAATGTTCATAGTACTTTTTCATCATAGCCAACATGTGTAAACAACCCAAATGTCCCCTGACTGATGAACAGATAAGCAAAATGTTGTGCATCCATACAATGAAATATTACTTGGCCATAAAAAGGAATAAAGGACTGGCAAGTACTACATGAGCCAACCTTAAAAGCATTATGCTAAGTGAAAGGAGCCAATCACAAAGGAGGACTTATTATATAATTACATTTACATGTAATGTCTATAATAGGCAAATCCAGAGACAGGAAGTAGATTAGAGGTTGGCAGGACCTAGGAAAGGGGAGTGGGGATGACTGCTAATGGATCTAGACGCAGATAGCACTGATGGTTGCACCACTCTGAATATACTAAAGACCAATGAGCTGTATGCTTCAAAAAGGTCGATTTTTTTTAAAGATTTATTTATGATAGACACACACACACACACACACACACACACACAGAGAGAGAAAGAGAGAGAGGCAGAGACACAGGCAGAGGGACAGGCAGGCTCCATGCCAGGAGCCCGACGCGGGACTCGATCGGGGACTCCGGGACTGTGCCCCGGGCCAAAGGCAGGCGCCAAACCGCTGAGCCACCCAGGGATCCCCCAAAAAGGTAGATTTAATTATATGTGAATTATATCTCACTAAAAAGAGGGAAGGGAAAAGTGAAAACCTATAAGATCCTCCACAACTTTAGCTTTAAGTCCAGAGAGTCAAATTAAGAGATTTTAAATTACGCCTCAGTTGAATTACAATAGTAAATTACTGGAAACAGTGGAAATGTTTGCCAAGAGATTGGGTTAAAAAATATGCTATATCATGCCAATGGAATGCAATGCAGCTACTTAAATAATGTGGGGGAGATATATTTAATGACATAAAAATACATATGACATATAGGACATGAAGGAAACAGATTGCAAAATAGAATGTATATTGTCATCTTATATTGGAAGGGAAAATTATGTATGTATCTCTCTGGAAGTATAGATACCAAAATGTTAACCCAGGGGAAAAGAAAAGAAAAGAGTAAATATGTCTCCTGAATGGTGGAACCTCTAGCCTTTTTCTCTCACTCTGCTCCTAGAGCATAAATGGCCTTCATCTCCCCCTCAAAAAGAAGAGAGACACATAAGCAAAAAAACAGATGAAAAACATACATCAGAAGAGGGATTGCTTCAGGAAACAGAGTCCAACAAATAATTCTCCGTGATCTTAAAGAATGTGAGATGAAACAATCTCTCTTTGACAAGAGAGCTCAAAGAAAAGATGCAAGAGTGCAAAAAAGAGATTTCAAGGCCACAGGAAGAGATGAAAAGTTGGCTGGCCTAGTTCAGAAAGAAAGTAAGAAAAAATAGCAATGTTATAGAGATACATACATCAGTAGAAACAATAAGAACTGGAATAAATCCAGCTGAAAAAGTTTTCTGAATGAATACAACTGAGAACACAAATGAAAAGAACATGAAACAGAAAGAAAGCATTGTAAAAACATTTAGAGGAAAGATGATTGAGGAAGACATGTATGAAGGATACAAATACAGATACAGAGGTTAAAATAAAAAAAGATAAACAGAGCACAAAAGATGTATACGTGGCAGTCCTAAAGTAGAAAATACAATAAATGGAACAGAAAAAAATAGTCACGGATGTTCTAGAAGCTTTCCTGAAATAAATATTTGAATCTACAGATTGAAAAGACAGGCCATACCCCAGGAAAAAAAAACAATACAGATTGATCATAGAAAAATTTGCTTTTCTCCAGTATTTATTCTATTATAGTGGAATGTTTTTAGCTGGATATATAGTCACCCAGAATGAAGACTGTATTTCCCAGTATTCCTGCAGTCAGGGAGGGTCATATGACCAAGATACATCCAATGGGATGTGAGCAAAAAATTACTGTGTGCAACTTTTGGATATATCCCTAAAGGGAAGGAATGTGATCTCTTTCTCTTTCCTCTTTCTTACTGGCTAGAGTATACATCTCTGTCTATGGACAAGGTCAACACCCTAGGGATGGTGGGAAAGCAACAAAATAGAAAAAGCCTGAACCCCTGACAATTTCATTAGATAATTGCTACTGTATTGGTTTATATCATTAAATGAGGAACAAATACATTCCTTTCTCTTAAAGCCACTGTTATTTTGGGTTTGTGTCTGAATCTCTGCCCTAAACATTACACTGATTAAGGTATATATTGGTGAAATTGCTGAATTTCAGAGCTAAAGAAAGAATCTTAAGTATATCCAAGGAGAAGAAGCAAGTTATGTACTAGGAATAAAAGGCATTTATTTAGCCTTCGACTTCCCTCAAAGCAACACTCAATGCCAGAAGACAGAGGAGCAATGTCTGGAAAGATCTAAAGGAAAGAATAACCCAAGAATTTTTATTCAGTTTGCCCTTTAAGTATAATGACACAGACCCTTTGCAGCATGCAAGAATCCATGAGACCTGTATGAAAGCAGACTACTTGATGACAAAACCCCACCAATGAAGGGATGATTCCAAACATAGGAATGGAGAAGTCATGGAAAAAGAACAATAACAATTGTGTTCCAATTATACACAGAGCCAACCAGACAACTGTGGGAGTTGTGGTAAAAGAATGGAATGTAAATATTATTAACCTTTTCTATGTGAAAATGATACAACCAACAAAATTAGGAGGACACAAGGGAAGAGGAAATGGGGGGAAAGTAGAAGTGTATTAATTTCCTCATATTTGTTGGCTGGAAGTCAATTGACATTGTCTAAAGGTGAAATATGCTTTTTAAAATGACTCAAAACTCTTAATGTTATCATTTTCCTTAATTCAAAGGGCCGTTTTTAGGAACCCGTATTTTTCGTGTCAAAAATATTTTCTGAAGTTCATGAATTCCTTTAAGTTTTTCCTCCTAGGGATCCCTGGGTGGCACAGCGATTTGGCGCCTGACTTTGGCCCAGGGCGCGATCCTGGAGACCCGGGATCGAATCCCATGTTGGGCTCCCTGCATGGAGCCTGCTTCTGTCTCTGCCTCTCTCTCTCTCTCTCTCTCTCTCTCTCTCTCTCTCTCTCTCTGTGTGACTATCATGAATAAATAAATAAAATAAAAAAGTTTTTCCTCCTGACAAAAGACTTTTGTTTAAAAAAAAAAAACGTCGGGATCCCTGGGTGGCGCAGTGGTTTGGCGCCTGCCTTTGGCCCAGGGCACGATCCTGGAGACCCGGGATCGGATCCCACGTCGGGCTCCCGGTGCATGGAGCCTGCTTCTCCCTCTGCCTGTGTCTCTGCCTCTCTCTCTCACTGTGTGCCTATCATAAATAAATTAAAATTAAAAAAAAAAAACGTGATCCCATTTTTTTGGTAGTGCTATTGTGGGTATTTCCATTCTCTGTAAAACTATGTATTTTTTTCACCTATGCAAACACACACACTTTCTTTTATCCTCATACTTATCTGTGTATTTGCAGGTAGAAACATCTGGAATGATGGTCCCTACATGCCAACAGTTAATTGTCTCTGAGTGGTGGAATTGAGACCAAATTTATTTTTGTTTTTTACTTTTCTTTTGACAATTTTTGGCATGCTTCAAATTTTTGTAATACAGTAAAAGTTCAATAACCAAGCATAGATCCAACTTGGAACATGCCGGGTAATTAGAAATTCTGGATTGCTAATTTCCTGGGTATTTGTCTATTGCTATTCCAAGGTACAATTTCACAAATATATTTGTAATGTACTTCATTATGGTTTTTTCACCTTAAAAGTATAATGATTTAAGTAACCTGTATACTAAAATAGTATATTTTATATACTATGTAATATATATATTACAAATATAATTGGCCATAGTAAAAACACACTAATAATTCAATCCCTGAAAATACAATAAACATTGTAGATTATAATTAAGTATATTACAGTAGATGCACTACCTGAGTGAAGTTGAAACCTCTATCTTTGAAGAGGTATATTTATAAATAATTCAGAAAAGCAATTGTATCTGTAACTTAAACTGAAATTTCTTTTTATTATTTTTTTCTTTTTTAAAAAACAGATTTATTTATTTATTTGAGTAGGGGTGCAGAGTGAGAGGGAGAGAGAGAATCCCTAGCATACTCCATGCTGAGTGTGGAGCCTGAGGCAAGCTGGATCCCACAACCCCAAGATCATGACCTGAGCCGAAACCAATAGTTGGATGCTTAACAGACTGAGCCACTCAGGTGCTCCTGAAATTTCCTTTTATTATCAAGACTTTTTGCAGCATACACAAAAATTTAACTTAAAAACTTGTATTGTGGGATCCCTGGGTGGTGCAGTGGTTTGGCGCCTGCCTTTGGCCCAGGGCGCGATCCTGGAGACCCGGAATCGAATCCCACGTCGGGCTCCCGGTGCATGGAGCCTGCTTCTCCCTCTGCCTATGTCTCTGCCTCTCTCTCTCTCTCTCTCTCTGTGACTATCATAAAGAAATAAAAATTTAAAAAAAAAAACTTGTATTGTTCAAAACCAAAATTGTTTGCTCCATTATAAAAAGAAAATTCAAGGCCTGACTGGCTCTGTCAGTAGATCATGCAACTCTTGATCTCTAGGTTGTAAGTTTGAGCCCCGCATTAGGTGTAGTAATTACTTAAAAATAAAACCTTAAAAAAAAATGATGGGCACCTGGGTGGCTCAGTCAGGTACCTCTGCCTTCAGCTGAGGTCACGATCCCATGATCCCATGATTGAGTCCTGCATCTGGTTCCTTGCTCCCCTGGGAGCCTGCTTCTCCCTCACCCTCTCCCTCTGCCTGCCTCTCCCCCTGCTTGTGCTCTCTGTCAAGTAAATAAAGAAACTCCTTAAAAAAAAAAAATGACCACAATGGATGTTAATGGGTGAACAGAATTCATCAGATGATTTTACTTAGTAAATTCTTAATTGTTAGACAATAAGGTCATTTCCAATTTTTTTTGCTAATATAAACAGTTTGTTTGCATCCTTAACTCTTTCTCTGAGATAGATTCCTAGGAGAATCACTGGATCAAGAGAATGTATATTGCCAGAGTATTTTATATTTATTGCCAAGTTCTTCCAGAAAGTCCTTGCTAGTTAGGCATCCCCACCTGCACTTCAGGAAAGAAAGTTCTCCCTTCCCACACCCTCACTGTCATGGGGTATTATTCTAGGCGAGAAGAACTCTAAAGTTTCTTCTCAGGTGCCTGGGGAAATGCCCCCACTAACTAAAGACTTGGACTCTAATGTATGCCCCTAGAGACTGGCCAGTGGGGACAGGACATTGGGCCGGCTACTGCAGTCTTGGTGCAACCCAGTGTCCAAATGGCTATGCCCAATGGACAGACCTAGCCCTGATTCCCTTGCCTTGCTCCTCCTCCATCTCTGATTTCCCCCACACTGCTCTTCAGAAGCCACCTCCACGTGGGCCTGCTTGTGCTTGGCACCACATCGAGTTTAAATTGCTCAGTGAATTGGCACCCCTCCCTCCCAGACAGGAGTTCCCGGAGGGCAGGAAGCACATCTGCCTTGGCCACCGAAGAATTTCCACTTCAGGGAGCAGCGCCAGGCACCTTGTTTAATGAAGGGATAGAAGAGGCTGGGAATCAGAAGCCACTGACGGATTAACTAGACACTGCAGAGTCTTCTAGGCCTCTCTGCCTCTCCTCACTCTCCTTATAACCTGTGACAAGCCAACTTTTGTTTCTCAAAACCATTCCCTCCCCCAAATGCATGTGCTACCCTGCCTCATTCAGGTCCTTAGGGCAAATCACTTCAACAATTAGCTTGCCCCTTAGCTGGTCGCCTTGCTTCCCACGCCCTCCTGTCTTAGCTCATTAATTCTCACATTCCATGGTTCTTTTTTGAAACATAAAGATCTGACCCCAAGATCTCCCTGCTTATAAACCTTCAGGGCTTCCCATTCCCTCTAGAATCCTTTCAGTGGAAATTTTTGGCCATTTACCACTCTGTTTTGACCTTATCTTCCACCAGGACTCTGATGACCCTATTTTATTTTTTTTTTTTTTATTTATTTATGATAGTCACAGAGAGGGAGAGAGAGAGAGGCAGAGACATAGGCAGAGGAAGAAGCAGGCTCCATGCACCGGGAACCCGACGTGGGATTCGATCCCGGGTCTCCAGGATCGCGCCCTGGGCCAAAGGCAGGCGCCA